CTAGAGGAAGAAACTGGAGTTGTTTTCTTGGATTGGTACGTTGTAATGTCGACACAGGAACAGTATCTAAATCATCCAAAAGTATATCAAATCTATTGAATGAAGCAAGTTACTTGTGAGAAAAAAAAAATGTTAACTGATTTTTCCCTATCTCCACTAGAAAAATGAGCTGGCATCCAGTTAACTCATATATTTACATATTTTAAGGAAAGTTGGTTACATAATTTTCTAGAACTGAAATTTCATTTCTATTATCTAATACAAAATTGTATTTACATACTAAAGACTTAAAGCACTTACCCATACATTATCTCATTTGATCTTTATTACCACCTTATAGAATAAGCAGGGCAGGTATTATTATCCCCGTTTTACAGAAGAGTAAACTGAGGTTCGATGTGCTTAAGTGATCTCTCTTAGAGCCTGGTGGAGTTGGGTCTAGAACCAGGAAGCAACATTTTTCCCACCACACCATACGTTGCTGCCCACACTTGAGAGAGGACAATTTCCTCAAGAGCATGAGCAAACATGAGTTTAGTGCCAGAGCCAGACCAGTACAGCCTGCTCTCTTGTATGAATACAAGTGGCTCAAAGTTTCCCTGCATCACAAACCTTTCCAGGAAAACAAAGAACTAATATTCTACATCCAAAAGCTGGATAGGGTCCTGAAGTGGTCTTTAAAATGTAGTAGTAGCAAGTTTACATCATTAAAAACTGTTTTCACGTATTGTAGCACTTTATTTGTAGTATGACATTCATTTAGATATTTAATTGACTTAAATCCACAGAGTTCCATTGACAATTGAAAAATTAGTGATAGGTAGCAGCATAAGTCAACATTTTAAAGTTTATATAGTTTATTCTACAATTTTAAAGAACTTACCTAATTGGACTGTTTTCATTTTTGCTAAGTAGATGACTAAATCCTGGAGACAAATTTTCTTTAGGGGATCGCTTTGGACTATAAGCCACAGTCACTGGTGTTAACATAATCTCTCTCTTTGTTGGAGTGCTTGATTTACGATTTGAAGGTGGTAAAGAGGATGATCTCTGTGAAGCAGAATTAAGTCTCTTTTGTCTCTGTTGGGCACATTTTTCTGGGGAACGACTTGCATTGACTGAAGTTTCAGTTTGCCGAGGATTCACTAATTCTGTACCAGATAAAGGGGAAAAAATATTACAACAAGCCTAAGCTTCACTTACCTGGCTTATTAATAAATAGATTCAGCTTTTTGTCACTCCAAGTTATCCATTTTCTAAGGATTTGAGCAGTTTTTAGCTGATTCCCATAAAGTGATTAGAAAAGTATAAACTTCTAGAAATGGGAGTGAAAATGTTATTATTCTGAGATCAGCATTGTTTAGTAGATCTAAATGTTATGTGCACTGAACCACTAGCCTCTTGTGGCTATTGAGCACTTAAACTGTACCTAGTGGAACTGAGGAACTAAATTTTTAGCTGGGCTGGGCGAGGTGGCTCACACCTGTAAATCCTAGCACTCTGACAGGCCAAGGTGGGAGGATTGTTCAAGGTCAGGAGTTCAAAACCAGCCTGAGCAAGAGCAAGACGCCGTTTCCACTAAAAATAGAAAGAAATTAATTGGCCAACTAAAAATATATAGAAAAAATTAACTGAGCATGGTGGCACATGCCTGTAGTCTCCCAGCTACTTGGGAGGCTGAGGCAGGAGGATCGCTTGAGCCCAGGAATTTGAGGTTGCTGTGAGCTAGGCTGATGCCACAGCACTCTAGCCTGGGCAACAAAGTGAGACTCTGTCTCAATCAATCAATCAAGGGTGACACCACACAAGGCCCTCAGCCTTGGTACTGCTCAAAGCATCTCTTGTCACCATCTAGGGTACAATGACCTTCTGCAAATGTACCACATTATAAAAAATGCTTGATGTAGAAAAACATGGGAGTTTCTGATGAATTTGTTTGGATCCCTGTTTACAACTGGCATTCAAGGTGATTTTTCAAAAGAGTTTATTTTTAGAAAGCAGGTTACTAATTTATTTACTAGGAAATGCAACACCAAAGATGTCAATGGCATGACTAATGGGTTTGAACAAGTAAGCACAGTAGACAGTAAAAGGAGAGAAAAATACTATTGATCTAGACCTCTGGAAAAACACAGAATTAAAGAAATTTCTTATCTACAGATGCTCAGTAACCAACAAAGGGAAGAATAAGAAATGTTACATCTCACCTCATGAATACCAAACATCTGTCACAACATTGATGTGTGCAAGACAAACTGGCAGAGAAATTTTTCAAATATCCTTAAGAATGCCAGGTAAGCCTTTTTATTATTCAAAATTTAAGATGCAATTAGCTTAGTATGAAAGCTACGTGTTATGCCAGAACTGTGATAAGCTATTAACTAGGGATTTGATTATCTATGGAGCTGAAGCAATAGTCAAATAAATTAAACTTTTAATTTCATTACCTGAGAAATTTAATTTCAAAGAAGGTAATATAAATGAGAGGAAGGGAAGATATCTCTAAAATAAGGAAATGGGGGGGGAATAAAATAAGGAAATAAATACTCACTATTTGAGGTATCCTCTTTCTCTGTTTGTGTCCCCCAATTTTTAAATATTTTTTCTTCATCAAGTTCTTTTAAAGCTTTCATGATCGGTATGTCTGAAGTCTCTCTTTGGTTTTTCATCAATAAGCTTGTTGGTGAACTTTCAGGTGAAGAATCCTTTTCTGGAGGGGAATGGTACCTTAAATAATAATCGTAAGACATACAGTGCTGCGGACTGCAAGTTGTGTGTCCCCCAAACACACATGCTGAAGCCCTAATCTTTAATGTGATGGTCTTCAGAGGCAGGGCCTTTTGGAGGTAATTAGGGTCACATGAGGCCATGAGGTGAAACCTCCACGATGGGATTAATGCCCTTGCAGAAAGAAGAGACGCAAGAGCTCTCTCTGCTCACACACCAAAGAAAGGCCATGTGAGGACATAACAAGAGGGCCCTCACCAAGAACTCAGCCAATGTCGGCACGCTGATCTTGCACTTCTAGCCTTCAGAATGGGATAAATAAACATTAGTTTAAGCCACACAGTCTATGGTGATTTGTCAAGCAGCCTAAGCTAAGACACACGGTTTATTGGGATTGTTAGGGGAATAACAGGAGAATTGACAACTATACTCCACAATGAATATGTGTGCTTTACAATACAAATAAATTAAAATTGAACCTGCATACAGTGCTTTCTAATTCTTTTAACATCCTAGCACATACAAAAATAATGTATTTTCATGGCACCCTAGAGTGATGGCTGAGGTTGCTCACGGGCCTGGGCTATCCAAAGGGTGAGAGGATCAGCACCTCGTCCTCACTGCAAGCCTGGACTGTGCCAAAGAGCAGAGTTAGGGAGCTCTGCAGAGCAAAAGTGAAATATCCTAAAAGTACTACCCTTTCAAAGTAAAATAAAAATCAGGTTCTCAAAATGAAGACATTAAAGAACCAAAGAGATGGCTTCTTAAATAGTTATAGGCAATTGAAATCTTTAAGAAAATATAACATTCCTATATAAAATCTCTGGCAAAGTCACCTCACCCAGGGACACAGGTTTCCTCCAGCTGGTGATCTACGCTACTGCCCTGGATGTCCAGGGGCTGGCCAGTGAAGATGGAATACTCTGCGCCTGGAATCAGCCACTTGCGCCTGCTGACGTCAGAAGTTGCCAGCGTGCTGTTGAAAAGAGAAACGCCAGGGGAGCTGCAGGGTCCGCTGGAGCTCAGACAGCACGTGTATATAAAACACTCTGCTCGCAAACAGCACTTACATATTGGCACAGTAATTTAAAAACCACAAACAATAATATATTTTAGATACACAAATTCTATTTTATGGTTTTAAGATTCAACCAAACTGTTATTTCAGGTTTCTGTTACTCCTGAATATTCCAGAATCTCAGTCAAGACTCAGAAACTCTGGGCTCTGAACAACCCCCAGCTGCTTCCTACAGTGCTCCACACTCTTGACACCCTGATCGGAGCTAAGGGGAGGGACACGATGCAGGTCTGCCCTTCTGATGGGGAGAAATCCCCACATATTTTGGGGCCACAGAATTCTTCTGCACTGATTGTCACTGTGTTGGTATGAGAGCAGAGGAAAAACACAGTTTGAGTTTTTCCCCTCAAACCCTGAACAGGCACTCAACACTGGTGACTGCTTCAGTTTTCCTCCTGGTTTTCTAGTAGGTCTTTCTTAGGTTCCTTTGCCAACTCCTACATACCCAACAGCAAAACGCTAGAGTTCTTGTCCTGGGCCCACTTCACGCTAAGCACGCTCAATTCCCATCCATCCTGTAGCTTTAAGCACACTCTAAAAGTAGACAACTCCAAAATTTATAACTCCAACTAAAATCTTATTCCTAAGCCCCAAACTCAAATTTATAATTGCCTATTGATTTCCATTTGGAATTTACGTGAATCTCTAATATATTCAAGATGGAAATTCTGAGCTCTTCTCTAGTTCAATACATGGTACCTTTAGTTGTTCAAGACAGAAACTAAGGAGTTCATTCCGACACTCCCCCCCTTGTTAACTTGCCATCCAATTTGCAACCATGCTCTGTGGATTCTACCTTCAGAGTCTCTCTCAAATCCTTCCCTGTTGTCCATTTCTGTGGCCACCGCCATGCTGATACCACTTGTCTCCTAGCACTGCAATAGCCTAACTAGGTTCCCTGCTTCCACTCTCCTCTCCTCATGGCAGGTACACGAAGAAAAGTAAAATCCAGACGACATCATTTTTACTACATAAAAACCTTCCAAGCTTCCCTGTGGACTTACGGTAAAATCCAGACTCTTGACCATGGCTTAGAAAGCTATGTATGATCAACCTGTGATTTCATCTAGGGGGACTTGACCTCTTGCTTTAAGTATTCAGGCCACACCAGCTCCCTTAGCTTCTTCACACATGCCAAACTCTTTCCTACCTCAGGACCTAGCAAGGCTAAGTCCTCTGCCTGGAACATCCCCCATTCCTCACGCCCATCCCCCACTTCTACTCCAGCAACTCTGAACATAGTTGGCTCCTCTGCTCATGTGGAAAGGTTAAACTTGGAAAGGTTAAAAAGTACAATTCATTTCTTGCTGATAAATGCCAACATTATAAAGTTGTAATTTACTTAATATTCTTAATTTATACCAAAATCATAATAAAAACCAGTTCTATTAATAATATGAAGAAAATTTATTCTGTAAAGGTATCATCAAGATAATGCTCTGAGATTTAGCAAAACTAATTCTGAAAGAACTAAAATAACTAAAAAGAAAAGGCACACAACGAAGATCCATCTTCACATGTCTTTCCATTAACATGGGAATAAAATGTGTGGAATTTCAGGGCTAAAGACCTTTTGAGATATTCTAGCCCAGTGTCCTTGTTTTTACAGATAATAAAACTGAGCTCTAGAAGTAGTAAATGACTTCCCTAAGGTCACACATCTGGGTCGTCAAATAACAAAATACATTCCCAGTTTCCTTACTCCAATTTGATTCTACTATATTTCTTCATTTTGGCAAATGCCTCTGCTAAGTGTGTTTATGATATCCAGTAATTAAATTGTTTTCTTACACATCTAAGGTCTGCAATGACATTTAACCCTGACTTTCTTTCTTATGATTTAGACAGATGAGCTCCTCCTTTTAATAGAAGTGTGCATCTATTTCTAGCTTTTCAGAAATTAAATGGAATAACTTACTTGGCACGAGAGGGTCTCACGTGAGTTTTAGAATTATGACGAAAGCTTAACATATTTTCATGCTCCACTTGTTTGACCTGAGCTTCAAGTTTTGAAATCATTCTGATTCAAAAGCAATATGATAAATTAAGTACATTTCAACAAATTTAAAATGCAGCTCAATTACAAATTATTTAACAGACCCTCCTAGAAAAGGGGTGACAAAGAGTTATCAATTGATAAACCTTTTCCATAATAAAACACAACCATTACACTTTAAAAAGTTGAACAAAATCAGGGAAAATAGAAAAGCAAATACATGAAACTCTACAAAGGAGCATTCCATACACTGAAACTGAAGGAAAAGGTAACAACAAATGGACTTATGTGTAAAAAAATTATATA